GGGGGGGCCCTACTGGGAGCTGGCCCGCTCCAGCACCCGCAGGTCGTAGCTCTTCCGGGCCCCGCGCAGCCGGAAGCGGCTGAGCGAGTTGTTGAGGCGCAGCGAGGCGTTCTGGGCGGCCAGCGGGCTGGGGAACACGGCCACCACGGTGTATAAGGCAGCGAGGTCCGGGTGCCGGCCGTTCTCCGCCGGCCCGTGGTTGTCGCCTGCGCCGCCCCCGGCCCCGCGCCGCCCCTGAGTCTCCTTCAGCCACTGGATTTTGGCCCCGGCCATGGCGAGCTGGGTGAAGAGCTTGTCGGCCTCCGTGCGCGTGATGCCCTCGGGCAGGTCCGTCACCTCCAGCACCCGGCCCAGCACTGCGAGGAGACAAGGCCAGGTCAGCGGCTGGGAACCAGCCACAGGGGGCTGGGAGCCAGGACTCCTGGGTTCTCTCCCCGGCTTTGGGAGGGGAGTAGGGTCTAGAGGTTAGCACAGGGGGCTGGGAGCCAGGACTCCTGGGTTCTGTCCCTGGCTTTGGGAGGGGAGTAGGGTCTACAAGTTAGAGCAGAGGGAGGGGGCAGCCAGGACTCCTGGGTTCTATCCCCAGCTCTGGGAGGGAGGGTCTAGAGGTTAGCGTGGGGGGCTGGGAGCCAGGATGCCTGGGTTCTCTGGGAGGGGAGCGGTCCCTGCTTGAATCCCAGAGGTGGGAGCTGGGAAGTCCCTGCAGTTCATGCCCCAGGGCACCCCCTTTCTCCCTGCGGCGGGTGGGGCAATGCACGGTCCCATGCAGCCCTGCAGAGCCTGTTTGCCTCCCCTCGCTCAGCCCACGGGGACCCCTGGCGCAGGAAGCTGTCACTTCGGCGCGAATGTTCCACCCTGGAGCCAGACTTGGGGACGCGGGTGGGGAGGGCTGAGGGGGGCCGAGTGCTCAGGACTCCTTGGGGGGCGCCTGGCTTTAGCACGGGGGCCTTTCCGGGCAGCAGGGCCAGTCCCAGACTCTGGGGGAGGACAGGGGCAGCCGATGTCCAGGGGCCCTGGTTAATTTCTGACCTGGCCCAGAACTGAACCGCATCCACCTGTGCCAGCCCCAAGCGGGGGGCAGAGCTGGGTGGTGCCCTGGCCGCGCCTGCAGGCCGAGCTGCCCATGCGCTTCAGCTGTCAGGGCACAGAGTGTGTCGCGGCCGCGGCTCGGGCTCCGGGAGCCAGGCGGGGGTGAGCGGCAGGTCCCGGCAGACCGAATTCTGTGCTAATATTAAACCAGCGTGTAACAGATCCCCCGGCCCCTCCCTGCTCTATTTCCACTGCCCGAGGGGGCTCACTTTAACACGCCTGCTAGGCACTGCTGCAGCTGTTTAACCGGGGAGGGGAGGGGAGGGGGGATTTTAAGCCTCCCCTGAGCCCCATGGAAGGACATTGCCTTGCAGCCTGTCCCCAATTAGCAAGTGCTGATTGTGCTCCCCTGGGGGGGCGGCTGAGCGCCCTCTGCCGGGGCGTTTGGAGAGAACCATCAAACCACTGAGCAGCTTCAGCTGGGGGATCTCAAAGCACTTCACAAACGCGAACTAACCCTCCCAGCCCGAGGGCAGCGTCACCCCGCTGTTATCGAGGTGGGGAAACAGGCAGAGATCTCCCAGCGAGTCGGCCACAGGAACAGCCCACAAGTCTGGACACCAAGCTCTGCTCTAACCACTAGACTCCCCTGCTCTCCCCGAGCTGGGAACAGAACCCAGGAGTCCTGGCTCCCAGCCCCCCCTCACAGCGCAGCGTGTGCGTCTCCTCCAGCAGCTGGGCCTGTGGGGGGCAGAGAGGGGCAGTGGGGGAGGCCCGGTGCCCTCTCTGCTGCCAGCGCGCACACTCTCCAAGGGGGCTTGCGGGCAGCACTTCCGAGGACCAGGGGTCTCTCCTCTCTAGTCCCCCGCGGGTCCCGTCCAGGATCCGTCCCTGCTGCCCAGTGACAAGGGCTCAAACTGCGCCCTCGGCAGGTGACTGGCGAGGGAGGCACCCGGGAGGCTGGGCTGGCCAGGGTGTTTGCCAGGCGCGGGTGGGCGTGAGCAGCCCCCGAGGTCACTTGCCTACGTCGCTTGTGCCGAGGTCGGTGGACGCTGACTTGAGGGCCTGTCTCTTGCCCCGGTTTCCGTGTTTCATCCCTGTCTGGCCCTGGAAGAATGAAAACAGAGTCACCCGGAGAAGCCGCCAGTCCCGCAGAGCGGCTGGGAGCCCCTTGGCCAGCGTGCCCGCCCGCCCAGAGCGCAAGGGTTAGCCCAGCCCCCGGTGCAGCCGAGCTCAGGGCGCCCAGGTGCCTGGGACAGGCAAGGGCCGTTTCCAGCCTGCACTCCGTCTCCATCTCGGTGCTGACGTCCGGCTTGGGCGAGGCTGGGGGCAGAGTGACGTTTACATGGGAACTGCTGTCAGCATCCTCAGAGACGGGCTGCGGGCACTGGGCTAGGGCCCCGATCCTGCAGCGTGTGGCGCGTCCCGGTGGAGCCCGAGCGTCCCTTGGCACTGGTCAGGGCCTCGGTCTGCAAAGGACCACGCTCCAGGGGGTGCTGGCTCTTTGGGACTCACTCGCCTGGCCTGAGGGAGGGGAAACAGGGGCTCACCCCCCACATTTTGCTTCTTTCTGAGGGACAAAGGTGGCTGGGACCCCAGTGGCTGGAGTCTGAGGGGGGGGGGGGTGTTGGGCTTTTTCACAGGTAGGTGGGAAATTCTGCAGTTTCAAAGCTTGTTCCTTTTCCAAATCCAAATGCCAGATGCTTCCGAGATTGAACAGAACAGGACAATTACTGAGTGATCCATCCCCTGGCGTCCAGTCCCAGCTTCTGGCCGTCAGAGGCTTGGGGGGACAGAGCCTGGGCTTCCATCCCTGACCATCTTGGCTAACAGCTGCTGATGGACCTGTCCGCCACGAACTTTGAACCCACATATACTCTTGGCCTTCACAACGTCCTCTGGCAATGAGTTCCACAGGTTAACTGTGTGTGGTGTGCGGACTTTTTCCATGTTTTGAGTTTGACAAAACCAGCGTTTTTTGTGGAAAAACCACAGGCAATGACAAACATCTCCTGTTTTCCACCTTGGGACTCAGGTCTGGCTTCCCCTGTCCAATTCTGGCTACAGCATTGGCGAAGCCAGGCCAGCGAGCCCCGGCACTGAGGGTGGGCTAGTGCCGCAGACAGACCCATAGGGATTGTATTAAAGCGCTGAGGGAGCAGCTTCCTCTTTGGGAGCCCCCCCAATCTCTGCGTCCCCCAAAGAGCCCTCGAATCCGAACAGGAAAGACCATTCATGAGCCCCCCCCACTCCTCCAGATCTCCAGCCCTGGCAATGGCAACGCTGCCATGCGAAGTCGGGGGCCAGGAGGAACACTGGTGGTGGTGGGGGGGCCCCAGTCTGCCTCTGGGCTGGCGGCCGCAGTCCCCCTACCTGGTGTGCGCTGTAGTTGGACTGGCTGGGCAGCAGAGGAGGAGGGCAGATGGAGAGATTGTACTGCAGTGGCTGGCCCAGTAGAGAGTAGCGCCCGTCGCCTGGAAAGCAGAAGCAGAGGTTTGGGGGTGCTGGGGCGGGGGGCTGCAGCGCTGCGGAACTCCACAGGAGACGGTCCTGCCAGGGACGTGCACGTCTGCTCTGCCGCAGTCGTGCCCGTGAGCAGAGGTGGGGGCAGCACGGGGGCGAGGCCTCCTCTCTGGGCACCGGTCTCACTGGCCCAGGCTGGAGAGGTGGGGAGGACGTGGCAGTGGAGGCAACCCACGCTATGGAAATAACCCATCTGGTGGGTCCTGTAACAGCTGGCCAGCAAGCCCTGCCCCGTGGGGCGCCAGGCCCTGCCCCCTGCAACAGCTGACTCCGCCCCATGGGGAGCCAGGCTCCGCCCCTGCAACTGGTGGCCCTGCCCTGTGGGGAGCCAGGCTCCACCCCCTGCAACAGCTGGCCCCGCCCTGTGGGGAGCCAGGCCCCGCCCCCTGCAACAGCTGGCCCCGCCCTGTGGGGAGCCAGGCTCCGCCCCCTGCAACAGCTGGCCCCGCCCTGTGGGGAGCCAGCCTCCGCCCCCTGGAGCGCCAGGCTCTACCCAGTGACGGCTCTGCAGGTTCGAAGGCTGCCTCGGCAAGTCAGGGTTCACTCTCTGGCCACTGGCGCCTCCCCAGGGGACTGGGCCAAGGGCCCACTGTCCGGATGCAAACTCCCACAATGCACCCTGTCAATCCCACCCCATGCCTTGGGCCCGGGCCCAGGCCCCTCGAGCTCTGAGCTTGGCCAGTTTCACTGCAGAGGCTTTTTGGTTCAAACGCTCCCCGCAGCCCGTCTCACCTTGTGCTGGGCCCACGGGCCGGGGGAACTGCGTGAGGACCGGAAGCGGGCTGAGCCCTGTGCAGACGCTGTTGAGGTTGGTCACGGGAGATGGCGTCGGGGACTGAGTGGGGGACGTGATGGGGCTGGTTAGCTGGGTGCTGGCCTGGAGACGGGGGAAAGGGTTAGACGCACGGATCGGGCCCCGAGCCCCCTAACCCCACCCCAAGGGGACGTGCTGAGCTGGCTCTCTGCAAGGGGCTGAATCCAACCCCCAGCCCCCCCGGCATTGGGCTAGTGCCTGGGGCCCCCCCGCCCTGTACCTGGGCGCTGGTGTCTGGGTTGTACAGCTCCCCCGGCTTCTGCCCCCGCTGGTCGAGGCCATAGTATTTACAGTGGCTCCATTGCACCACGGGAGGGTTCTGCGGGGGCTGGGGGCCGCTGGGCACGTTCAGCTGCATCACGACCACGCCGGGCCCCGACGGAGACACCCCTGCCAAGAGGAGACGGCGGCTGGGACGGGAGCTCCCAGGCTCACAACCTGGGACTGGCACCCCCTGCCCCAAGCCAGGCGAGGGGCGCTCACATCAGAGCAGCTCCCCTGGCTACAGAAACCTCCACCTGGTGCAGGGGCTTTCCGGGGGGACCGTGCTGGGCACTGCACCCCATCCCCATGCCTGGCACTGCACCCCAATCCTTCCCTGTGCCTGGCGCTGCACCTCCGTGCCTGGCACTGC